GGGGGGTGGCTGACTCTTAACTTTTATAAAGAATATCTCTTTGGATTTGAGACTTTAGTGTTTGCAACTTTACAGATCTTCTTTATGCACCAAGAGCTTGTAACACTCCAAAGAGAAAGGAAAAAATGAAATTGCATCATATGACCCCTTTAAGAATAATAAATGTTTTAAATGAAAAGAGATGTCACACACTTTAATAACTTTGTCTGCAGCAAAATTAATTGAATAACCTTTTAAGTCAGTCTATTAGATGATTTCGCAAGATTTTAATCACAAAGAGCCCACCAAAATATATATACCCATACTGCAAACTTAATTAGTATACACTCACATTAGTTATTAAAGTTTAGTGTGTAACTCATGCCATAGTGTTTTTGCTATTTGAATGATGAATGGTGTGCTGTTACTTTTCCAAGAAATGTAAAATCTCATAGGCTTACACTGAGACACATCTAAGCACAAAATATCATAAACGCATCATCTCAGAAAATGTGGAATCTAGGTGGTGATTAAAATTCAAAATACTAATCAACGTGTTTCAAGAAACCAGTTAAATGTGATGGAAATCATCCAGTCCCCAGTCAGTTTTATTGCCATAGAGCAATGATGCATGAAATCTAATACAAGAGTGATCGTCTTGGCTTTAGTGCACCAAAGAAACTGCATTTCAGCTCATCTCAAACCAACAGTATTATCTGTTTCTTATGTATATTGCTGAATATGCCAACTCTGAGATGGTTTTTCCTATTTTCAGCCAAACAGTTTTGCCAAGTCAAGATGCTGTAAGCAAGCACACAATCTCCTGCGGCTTGGTGTCACGTTGGAGCCTAGTTAGTTCAAACTGGCCCATTTGCAAATATCTGACATTACTATTGGATCATTGACATTTTTACCATTTTAAAAGAAGCACAGAGGTGAGCAAACAATCTGTAGAGTGGGCGGAGAGCGTTTAACTGTGCAACCCTCTCAGAAGCAAATGGGAAAATGATGATTTTTATCACAATAGCAATCTAGTCATTGTGCGCTGTTGTTGGAAATGCATCAAGGAGAATTAATGATAAGACAGGAGCATCGTTCTCAAGCCTCCTACAGATCACTGCCAACACAAGCGGTGCTCTAACTAGGACAACTTCCCTTCTCAGCACACATTTCCATAGCAACCATTGTGGAACTTTCAGATAAACATGGTCCCAAAGCGAAATCAGTCTTTTACTGTAATTAGTGGCATGATGCCTTGCAACGAAGCAGAATTTAACCTTTACATCAGTATCTGATATATGGCAGTTAAGTAAACAGCAAGTCTCCAAGGAGCAAAAATGTTCATGTAAGACCCTTTTAAGTTGTTCAGGAAACAATTTACTCGCCCTCATGTTGCTAAACCCATGATTTTCTTTCTCCTGAAGAAGGTGAAGAAGGAGAATTTTTATCCTGGCCATTCATGATGCTGTTAAGATCTGAAATAATAATAAAAGGGTAGGCCTACAGCTTAAAAGCACCATAAATTGTACGCTATATTCCAAGTCTTTTTTATGTCATACGATTGCTTTAAGTCGATATTCACAGAAAAACAAACTCTTCAGCAAAGCTCCAAGATGGAGGACAAAGTCATGCGAACTACAAAAATGGCTGACAGCATTTGATACAAAAACGCAAGTGATGGCAAAACACTATTGTAAAAGACGTTTTTCAGCATAGTGTACACTGTAGCCATCTAGTGGTCAAAATGAATTGCAAATTGGTTTTGTTTCTGGTTCTTCATTAAACTGACAATTTATTTTATTTTGAAATAAAAGTTGTCAAAGTCGTTTGGGTGTAGTCTATTGACGCTAAAATACCTACATGAAACATTAATCCATAAATAGGCCTGTGATCTGTCCGTTTTAATGTTTAAGTCCTTTGACTTAGTTATAGACAATATTCAAGTTAGCTTCATATATAAATTACAATATTTAATCATGTTTAACTTTCACGTCACATGATTCAACGCCTCAAGTAAATCACGTGATTTACGTGAGGCGTTGCACGTAAAAGATCACGTGGTACGAGAAAATCAAGCGCATCAATAATGTAAAATATGTTGTTTTTTGACATAGGCTAATTAACACAAAATGTAATATTGCTTCATAAGACTTGGAATATTGCAATCATGTATTTTCTAGTGTTAATTATTTCCATTTTGGCGCTTAACCGCCCAAGTCATCGATTCTTATTAGCTATATGGAAAAGAATACAATTCAAACAGGTTTGGAACAGCATAAAGGTGAGTAAATGCTTTTGCATTTTGGTGAATTATCACTTTAAAGATGCATTCTGTTGTCCTTATTCGAATAGTGACACGCAGTTAGCAAAACACAACAACAAAAGATTTAATCCGAACCACGTGGCTCTTGAGAGCGATATCATTCAGAGTTTCCGCTCGCCAGCTTAAGTGGGGAATAATAAAACACATGGCTTTGATGCAAAGCTGTATTATTTGCATAGAGAAAAGGCGCCAATTGGGGCTTTTGCTCACATCGCTGCTCCAGGACAACACTGAGCGCATCTGTTGCCATGGCAGCCAGCTGTACCTGTGTGTCCAGAGTGGACAGAATAGTGAAGGGGAAGCGGCTTCACGCACTGCTCTGCATCATCTGCTGGAGCTCTAATGAGATGCCAACACACAATAACACTTTTGTTTTCTTGTTTTTGTCCCCAAATGTGTTTATTTTCTGTAGTTCTTCAATAGGCCTGTGAGATGCACTGCATTATAATTGTTTAATTAAAGACGCTTTAATTGTGTTTGTTGACACCCCAAGATTGATTTTGAAAATGTGATTTTTATATGATTCACTATCAGCAGTAGTAGCCTTAAGCTGAATTAGTCATTAATCTGAATATTAAAGGATACATTCTTTAACATTGACAGAGTGTTATTCACTTCACCTGTCAGTGGTCATAATGTTATGCCTGATTGGTGTATGAATAAATAATAACATATATACAAAAACATAGTAAATATTTTAATATTAAAGAAAATTAATATTTTTGCAGTTCCTTTTGGTGACTAGTTGCACAAAAATTATATTAGATCTAATATCCTGATTAATGACTAATAGGCCCACTATACTAGATAAAAGTTTTTTTTTAACCATGGGGGCAGATTACAGATTTATTATTATTATTTTTTTTTTTAATATTTATAATTACTTTTGAAGTTCCTTTTAAGAAATTACACTCTTAATCTTCCTTTTAAATCTTTGTTGTGCTTGAAAATATTTAAAGAAAATCCTATTAAAATAATAGATAATAATATAATACATTTTTAATAATAATCCAATGTAATGCATCACACAGACACGTCTCTTTTCGCTGTAAATTATGAGTAGATCCTTTTAACAATATGTACATAATTTGTATAATTTTAATAATATTTTAAAATGTCATTTTAATCTAATTTGACCATAAATTGAGATAATCCAATAAAATCTGCAATAAAATTAATATGCAATAAAATTACACTTTTTTCCCACCCCAATATATGCTAAGGTAACTTAAAGTTGTCAATTAAAAGATTTTGCTATGGCTTTCTTGTATTCTTTTTCCATTTAAATCGCTAACATTTTACAGAAATTGTACAGTAATTGTAATGCGCACAACAACGTATTCACAGACCTAAGTATCGTCTCTGATTTTCTCTGACTGATTTATTCGGTGCTGTTCTGTGAGATAGATTTCTTCGCTATTTCCCCTGCAGCCTCTTATTTTCTATAAACCGCTCATTTGAGCAGCTTTGCGTCATTTCCTTTGAGAAAATAGGGTGGAAATGTTGTAATTGAGTAAGTAAACCCAGTTCTCATGTTGTCCAAATGGTGCCATTGAAGCTTTTAAGCGTAAAAAGAGAATGAACTGTTGTGACGTTTCTCTCACCTGATTACCTGATTATTAGTAAATAATCTGGTATTAAGTTTGTAGGTTTGATTGGTTGGCCATTGTGGTGAGGATAAATCTGAATGTAGAATCTGAATGTTTCTATAGGAATTAGAAAACATTTACAAATTTATGTTTTAGATTAAAAATGGAAATGTAAAATTTTTCATCACCGTTAAAAAGTTTGGGATAAGTGTGAGCATTTATTTGATCACAAATACAGTAAATATTCTGAAATATTACAATTTAAAATAAATATATTCTGTTTTAATATGTTTTAAAATGTAATTTATTCCTGTCATTACTCCAGTCTTCAGTGTCACATGATCTAATTTGCTGATTTGTGGCTCAAGAATTTCTTATTTCTAATTATTATCAATGTGGAAAACAGTTGAGTTGCTCAATATTCTTGTAGAAACCGTGATACGTTTTTCTTCAGGGTTATCTGATGAATTCTAAGGAATAGAATTGATTTGAAATTGAAATCTTTTGCAGAAAGGAAAAATTGAAATCGCATCATATGACCCCTTTAAGCGTTGTGACTTTTTTTTTTTAGCCAGACACACTTTTAGTTATGAAATATATGTGTAATTCCTGTAGGTGGAGCTTATTGAATTCTTTACCAGGTTTACATGCTTTATATGATCCTGATAGTAGTTGAAACTCTAACACTAACATAGTTTAAAGTTATCTTTAGAAACTGGGTAGTTTAACATCTACTTTAGTGCAGTGTCTGGCTTTAATACGCTTTTATTGCAAAAGCAATCATTGTAGACTCTTTTTTTTTTGCGCTCATTTTAGGGTCAATATTGATTTGTTAAACTATTTTACACTGATTTATTTATTAAATTGTATTGAACATAGAATATACCTTTTAAGAGACTGAAGCACATGCTTCGGGTTAAACAACTGAAATGCATTTCTCGTTACTGACCCGACAACTTATATCTGAACAGGCCTGTTTTAATAAGAAAGCATTTGTTTTAGAAAAGCTCCACCTTATAACTGATAAAAGAGGAAATCAAGGCCGAAGCTTCATCTTCAACAAAGAGAAGAAATTTTACATAGTGTACAATGAGGGTGGTGGAGTTCTGTTATATAATCACATTTTATTGGTGATACATTTCATTGCAAATATAGCCCTGTTTAACAGTAAGTGCAACATACACAATATTCAAGAGTCTGAGGTTTGTCATTCAGAGCAACATTACTGTAAATATATTAGTAATTCACTGCCACAGAAGGAGGCGTCTGTGCCTGTCTCATGCAAAAAAAAAAGCAGTTAAGAAAGCCCTGAAATATATATGAGAGGCAGGCCTGGAAAACTTCACATTACTCGGGTGAACGGAAACACAAGTCGACTGGCATATTTTGCAAAATTTTGGCACAGAAGTGATCAAAATCCATTTAGCTGAAAGCTGTGACAACCACGTTTGAAAGTGCTACGACTATAACTCGAATAAGCATTTTTTTTTTCTTTCTCAGAAATAGCTCTTTGATATAAAAATAAGCTTTTGAACTCAGGCTAAGCAGGCAGTTTGCAGCCACATCAAAAAATTACAATATGCAACATGAAAAAAATGGATTTTTAAAAAAGTAGTCTTTCCTCTCTCATCCTATAAAAAACATTTGCTCAGTCTGTCGTCCCTGCAAAAGAACAAAAAATGTATCCAAGAGATCATAATTAGGATATTTAAAGTGAAAAACACTTTCATTGTGCACAAAAAGATACGGAGAAAACAAGTGCTCAGTCTCACAGCAAAATAAAGAACGAAAGTTGCCAGATTTGTGCTTGTGATATCAATGCATTCCTCTCACAATATAAACTGAATCTGGACCACTACAGACCAACTCCACATGTATTAAACAACATAGGACTTGTTTGTCCAGTGTAGGATGTCACTTTATAAGAAGGGATATGAAACATGCCCTTAAAGAGAGAAAGCAGACAGACCCCCGCTTCCTCCATTTGGATGCCCGCAGCAGGACGTTCTCCTCGCCTGCTGCCGCACCGTGTAATTCAACCCATACTAAGAGGGACTGCAAAGTGCTTTCGATGCAGAATGCACAGAACCCACGATTTCCTGCAGCTGTAACAACGTTCTTGTGCGTTACACTCCCGCCGATGACTTCTCTGCCGTGTTGTTCAGGACTTCATCAATTCTGTCGTCTTCTATGACAACTGAAAGAGAAATCACAAGAGGCACTGGGGTCAAACGTGATGCCCTTGAAGAAATGACAAGACTTTAGGACAAGAATATGACAGTCAGGCTTTGCAGACTGCAAAAAATAAATCAAATAAATGTAAAAAAAATTATTAAATAATGGATGAAATTGACTAATGTAAATAAAACAGAATGACATGCTATAATTCATTTATTTTAAGTATACATTTTCTAATTCTAGGACTATTGTTAAGTATGTTGTTTGGTATGACCTGATAATACTGGACTGACATTAAATATAATATTTCTACTTTTAACATTTTAAAAACTTTTAATTGAACTGCAAAAAGTTAATGGTGATTAAAAATGGCTAAGAACCCATAGCTTTATTGATTAATTGTTTGTTTGTTTATCTGTGAAATAAAAACAATATAAAAGTAAAATAAAATTTAAAGAAGGAAATAAAATAAAATGAAATATTAAAAAAAACAGCTTAGATTGTAGTTTTTTTTTTTGCACCGGCGAATATGTGAAATTTCACAATGATTTCACTGATATAAACTAGCCCTGAAGGTAGTGTATATACATATAACATTATCATTAAATAATGAGTTACATTTCAGTCCCTTTCACAAAAATATTGTGTATTTTTTGTTCTTTTTAGAAAATTCTGAAAAGTGTTATCGAATTTACTGTTACAGCACCTAAAATGTATATATACATTTTACTTATGTATATATGGCTATACATGTCTATACTTTTACGGAAAAAAAAGTTTCTATTAGTCAATTAGCCATCTTTTAACTAGAAAACTAAACAATTTGCCATGAGATGAAAACTCATATGAACTCACAAGCAGGCAAAAGTAAACAAGCAAACGCATCACGCTGACATAATCACGTGATGCCATAAATTAGCATATTTAAGGCATCGGTATCATATCAAAGGTAATAGTGAAAAGAAGGCATTAGTTCGACTCATTAATTAGGTATTTTTTTAGTTTGCTGAATATGACAACATTAATATATGTTTTAAGACTAGAAAACCAACTCCTAGTTTTATTTCACCAACGAAACAACGCAAGTAAGTGGTTTTCCCACCTCTCTTGCTGCGTCCGATCTGTCCGAGTTTCGGAGCTCGTTTGTTCTGCCCAGAACTGAAGAAGTTGCTGCTGTTGTTCTGCAGACGACAGGTGAGGGATATCTGCTCTTCATCTCCATCGTCGCCATAATGAGAGATGCTCTCTTCGTAAGGGAGCACTTCTGACATGATCCCGGTCACAATAATCGATGAAGAGATACGGGAAGAATCGATAACTAACGCGCGAGGGCTCTGTAGACGAACAGCGAGCGAGAACCTCACTGTCACGATCAGATGCAGCTGTATTTTACCTTCATACTACGGGAGTCACTTTCACTTTTCCTGTCGTTACTTACAGGCGATGAGCAGGAGTCGCTCGGAAAAACTGATGTAGATGCAAAACAGGAGCGCGATGCAAAAACACACACGCAGATCCTCAGAGAGCAGAGAGACGTCACTCCATCCCCCTCCTCCACCCCACTCTGCTGCCTGCAGCACTTGGGTGCTGTGGTTTAGTGGTTAAAGATATCCACAAGGATGTGGGTTTGAATCCCACTGGGGTTGATTCGTGACTTACCACCACTGCCACCCAGAAGCTTGTCGCATTCGTGTCTTTGCACATAGGCACTGTGGCTTAGTGGTGAAAGATGGGGTTGACTTTGAATACATTTAGGGTTGATTCATGCTGTGTCATCATTTTTCTTGAGTAAGTAACCATTTAGAACATGCGTATGGGTGACATGGGTTTAGGTTGTGGGATTGAATCCCACAGTAGTTCACCCCAAAATGAAAATGTGCTCACCCTCATGCAGGGCCAGGCCCGGATTGGCTAATCGGGAGCATCGGGAGGCCGATGACATTTTTTGTATGACATTAAAATTATTTTTAGAATAATTGTACATAAATAGGTTAAGCAAAACAATTGTGATTATTTCTGAGAACTTTTTAACTGCAGGCAGACAGCCTACATTATGGTACATCACAAATATTTGGAACATCCCTTATTCTGTCCCTTATTTTCTTTTCATATTTTCTACAAGAATACAAGAATTCTTGAAGAATAAGATTTAAAAAATCACAATTGTCCCTTATTTTCCATTTCTGAAGTTAATTGGCAACCCTAATAATGACATAATTATCTTTTGATAATTATGTTGATAACATAATTATCAACATTAGCTCTGTACTTGTACTCTGCATAATGACAATAAAGTTGAATCTAATCTAATCTAATCTTTTGACTCCCCTGACAGTTTCTTTTTTACCTTACTCAAAAAAAAAAAGTCGTTGTTGGAGATATGCGAGCAAAAAATAATAGATAAAAAAATGGATAATAGAAAGCGCAAAGGCGGCACTGAAAAGGCCAGTACAAAAAAACAAACAAACAAAGTGTGCCGGTCTAAGGCATGAAACTCCAGGGCTGAAAATGAGTCCCACTCCGGCCCTGTGCAGGGCCATCCAAGATGTAGATGAGTTTGTTTCCTTATCTGAACAGATTTGGAGAAATTTAGCATTAGATCACTTGCTCACCAGTCCTCTGCAGTGAATGGGTGCCGTCAGAATGAGAGTCCAAACAGCTGATAAAAACACCACAATAATCCAGAAAACAATATTATGGAAGGAGGACTTGTATTTTAGCCACAACACACAGCTTTTCACTTTACAAGATGTTAATTGATGGACTGGAGTGGTGTGGATTACTTGTGGATTACTGTGATGTTTTTATCAGCTGTTTGGACTCTCATTCTGACATCCATTGGTGAGCAAGTGATGTAATGCTAAATTTCTCCAAATCTGTTCTGATGAAGAAACAAACTCATCTACATCTTGGACTAGCCTGAAGTCGAGTAAAGTTTCATAATATGAACTATTCCTTGAAATTCATAATCTAATCACAATTGTGCCTTTAAGCAAAACTCATATAGACAGGTAATATAGCTACTGTGAAATATTAAAAAAGGCTACTGTGTTCACCAGAACTTTAGCATAAAAATACAATGATGATGTGTTTTTACAGGATTACAGGAATTAATATATTAATTGAGCTATTAAAATCTTAGCTATTAAAATTAATGCATTTTCCTTCCAAAACATTTTTAAAAACAGTTTACAATAAAATGACAAATTATACATTCAAAGTATATATTTTTACGTATATATAAGCTATACAGTTAACCAGTTTATGTTTTTACTGTAACATTTTTACATAGTCTTTAATACAAAAAAAACTTGATTTCTTCTGTAACACTTTTATTAAGAACATCACCTACCATTATATAATACTAATGTTAATTCAAAGTCATATTCATAATAATATTCTGTTATATTGTAGGCCTATAATATGATTCATATGCTTTAATTTATTGAATGGCTATAGACTGCAATCTGGACTTAAATCATTAGTGGCTTGTTAGTGGTTTATATGATTTCATCTGTAGTTATTACTCAAGCTAGAGAGGTTTTGAAGATTTCTGGTGGTTTTAATAGTTTAAGGCATTATGTTGATGGTTATCTCAGTACTAACCAACCCATAGTGATCCTCCAAGATTAAAGTGTGATGGTAAAGACAGAAAGGTATTTAGCTCCATCTATTGGTCAGATACAGTAGTACTCTTTTTCATGTGCAATTAAAGGCAGAGTAAGTGATATCTGGTAGCCAATGTTGATATTTGAAATCACCAAAACAAACACGCCCCTACCCCAAAAGGGTCTTGCCCCTATTTTGATAGCTCCGCCCCACATATACGTACGCAACCCAGGCAACGATTAGTTTTGTGAAACAAAGCAAAACCAATGTTACTCCGTGTCTACGGACGTGAGCGGCGCGGCGCGGCGCAACAAATCCCGACAGAAAACTGCTGCCGGGTTCTATTTATGACGTGCTGACACAAATTTCAAATGGTTTTCAACGGTCGTTTGATCGCGTCCGGTGTAGGCAGACTTTAGCTGTTGTAGACACTGTGTTACTCACCTATTGAGAAGAAACAAAGCAACCTCGGCGTCCGATCGCAGGCCTCCGCTCCTTGAGTTCTCTCCAGCGCTGGAAAGCTGATCCGATATTTACACGGGTCCTACTTCTTGCCTTGTCGTTCCGCAGACGTTTTCCTCTTTTGTTTTTTTATCCGCCATCTCTATCTTTCTGTCGCTCGGCTCGGCTAATGTCCGTACCATGCACTGAAAGCTCTCTCCTCCACATCACGAGTAGACACACCCCTTACTGCTGATTGGCTACAAGTTTGTTTTGCTATTCGGCCCGAATCAGTTTTCTAAAGTGTTTTTGAAAAATCACATACCCTGCCTTTAATGCAAACTAGAGAAATGTGCATGTTCTTTAATTGTTTACATGTTTTATAATATTGTTTGTTAAATATACATAGCTAATATAATATATTTAGGCAGTCCCATTTAACAAAGATTGTAGCAAAGAAAATAACATCCCCCAACACTTCATAACCAGCAGCTTCTAGTTCTAATTAATATCTTTAGAGATGAGACTGGTTTGAACTCTGACAGACTGCGTTATCCTGAACAGCTCCTCTATATGTCTGAACTTCCTAACTCTTCTCCTTGGTTTCCTGTGCAGCATGTAGAGGAAGATGGAGCAGACGGTCAGACCGAACATCACCTTCAAGAGCTTCCAGAACCACAGGTCACTCTCCTGCTTCTTCAGGATGGAGTAAAGAGTGAGGAAGTGCTGTATGTCCAGAGGTGGAGCACAAACCAGGTTGCTGTCTTGCACCATCTTGCCTACACCAGTCAAGCTGGCAAAATGCATCATTTTGAAAGAATTATTTTCCAGATGTTCAAGCTGTCAAAAGCCATATGGCAGCAATAAACAAGCAGAGCAAAAAGAAGCAATTTACTACAAAGTTGGAACATTTTTCAAATACAATTATATCGCTGTAGTATTCGTATATAGACCAGTACCATATTTACACTGCTATTCAACATTTTGGGGTCAGTAAGATTTTTTTTTGTCTTTTACAGTCTCTCATCCTCACCAAGTCTGCATTTATTTGATTGAGTTAGCTGTAATATTGTGAAATATTATTACAGTTTAAAACAACTGTTTTCTATTTGAATATATTTTAAAACATAATTTATTCCTGTGATGCAAAGCTGAATTTTCAGCATCATTACTCCAGTCTTCAGTGTCACATGATCCTTCAGAAATCATTCTGATATGCTGATGTGCTGCTCAAAAAACATTTATTATAATTATCAATGTTAAAAACAATATCTTTTTAAAAATAAAACATTGAAATAGAATTCTTTTGTAACATATATATTAAAAAAAATTCTTAATTGTTACTTTTCTTTATTTTAATGCATCCCTGCTGAATAAAATGATTAATTAAAATCTTACTGACCCTAATCTTTTGAATGGTAGTGTACCTAGTAGTATTTTCATTATGAACTAAATCACTATTATCATCATCATACTTTCAAATGATCTTATTTGCTTTAATTGTTCCGTTACATGAGAGTGAGATCACTGCTACATTTCAGTGATGGCTTGTGTTTTGCATTGAAGGAAGTGAATGACTTCCTTGTGTGTGATTGGGAAAAATATAACTTTGTTTAAGTAATTAATAGGTAATATATCTTCTATTTACTCTGCAAAAAACAACTCACAACTTTATGAGCATAGCAAAAAGAGTGCTATGCAAACATTTCTGGACAATTTGCATCATGCTCGATATGAACAGTTTTAGTGTGACAACTGGTTGCCAATTGTCTACTGATTTTTTCCCTTTTGTTCTGTCGATCCATGGCTTTTTATCTGGTTGATAAGTCAAGCACAGTACAGTATTGCACTTATATGTATTACACATTTATATATTCATATCACAAACATCCAGTCAGTAACTGAAGACTGTTTAGTAAACTTAAAGTTAACTGATTCTGCGTACCATACAAGCTATTCATAATAATTAATAATTACATATATTAATACTTTTAAGTCATAATTTTATACATATTTCGAACATTTACCAGACGTCTGTTGTGCGATTCACCTTCTTCTCTTTCAGGACTCTTTCGCAGTTGTCGACAAAAAGAAGGCTGTTTAAGGCTGTTAAGAAAACATCTGGAGACTGTATGAGTACAATTCTGAAGAAAATGTGCAGTTGTTGCGACGGCATTGGGTGAGAGATACTGTATTTGCTTCTTTTGTCGTCTAAAATGACTGATGTTTTCTTCGTAAGGTAACACTTAGGATGTGCTTCCTCTCCATCCGCATTAATACACATCACCTGCGTGCCGCTGCTCCACCCCTTTCACTTTGTTTTTGTCCAGTGTACCTTAGTGATTAAAGATATGGTTATATAACTGAACGGTGGTAGGTTTGAACTCCAAAAAAATGAGCTACCACCTTCATTGTGGCCCTTCAAGATTAATTAGGAAACATTTAGTTTATATATTTCTAAATATTTAGTGGTATAATTTTGGCTTTACAGACTTTTGGTACTGTGCAGACTTTTAATACGTCATTGCGTCCTTTCCAAATCAAGTATATATTAGTTATTCTTCTGGTAGAAAGAAATGTTGCTCTAACATTTACACAGCTGCTTCATGG